CGATATTTTTTATTTGTGCATATTGATTATTTAATTTTTTATCATTTATGTTCTTTTACTGGTCCTGCGTACTATTTCCCGGTCGTCACATACAATTAAACACACATGTTTAACTAAAATTATAAATGTATTAACTTTTTTAATATTATCTGGCAAAACAAACATTGTATTTTTATTAATCCGTTACAAACATCCACTTTGAATGAATATATTGAACTGTTTGAGCTTTGAGCAATCGTTTTCATATAGTTTACTTACTTTAATATATTGTGTCATTGATAAACATTAACGCTTATTCATGAATGAACAGGATAAATAAACACTTTATCAAAGTATTCATATGTTGAATGATAACACAACTAACTGCTAGTTAGTTTTTTTTTTCAATTTTAAGTTCGTTGAATACTTTTGAGTAGTCTATGCAATTTCAGTGAAAATAGAGAGAAACAAAATTGTTTTGCAATACGAGTAAGAAATTTTGAAATTCTGTAGCATTGTATCACAGGTACATGTAACTCCCCCTGAAGCAACACTTATAGAAAATTTTCTCTCGTATATACAGTTATGTTATTATAGACAAAAAAGTAAGGTGATTAATGGTTCTTTTTAGGTAAAATTGTCGCAAGTTTAAATTAATACACAATTGTTTGTTGATTGTGAATAAATTACCTTTGGTGCACATTTATGACACACAATTTCAATCAAAACTAACACACATACAGAGATGACAGGATACAAGTAAAGTTTTATGTCTTTATATTTACATTCAGTGTAATTTTCTTTGTTTTCCATTAGAAATCTACGACGTTCAAATCTCTATATAACACACGCGAAACCTTGTCACCGCGCGTTGGAATATACAGTGGGAACTATAATACATTTTCAATACTCTAGAAACACCAAAATGCACAATATTTTAACTCAAATTAATAAAGAACTATAGCCCTGTTAAAAAACGTAAAAATACTACAAATATGCGTTTTAAAACATCACACACGGATCTAACGTCTTTCAAACAGTTTTGAAGGACGCTAAGCGAAATAAAAAATTATGAAGAGGTAAAATTAGATACAGTTAATATTAATATAAGCATTGAATTCATATATTGGGATGTCTTCGGTCCAATAACACACCTAGCCGTGCCGACAAATTATTATACCGTGTTATAGGACCAAAGACATCCCAAAATATGAATTAAAATTTATCCCGCTTCAGACAAATTTGTCGATTGTTGATTGGATAAAAGCTAATCACATGACGCCCTGAAATTTTCTGTATTACGACTCCGTCGGGGCGTAATATAAAAATTGGGCACGCGTTTCGTTCGAAGCGTTGTCATTGTAAGTAAAAATGGCGGCTAAGAAACGGTTTACGTAGGTAGTTTAGTTAAATTTCTTGTTACTGTAACGATATTTTATGTTGATTTTTATTGGATTAAAACTTAATATTTTCAACAACATAATCATAACATCATAACATGCACAAATATTTTTTGTATTGAAAAAGGTCTTCAGCGGGATAAATTCGTAACACAGACAGTTAGTGACCTAATACGGATTCATACAGGATGTGAAATGGAAATCCGTATTGGGACTCGGCTTCGCCTCGCCCAATACGGATTTTCATTTCACACCCTGTATGAATCCGTATTAGGTCACTAACTGACTGTGTAACTAATAATACATTCTGCTTATATTGCATTCTTAAAATCAATCTACTCGGATAAGCCATAATAAGCAATAATATTTGGACGCTCGAGAGTTAAATCCTTTAAGAAAAAATCATGTCACGTCTGTTCATTTAATTTCCAGAAGAAATGTGTATTTATTGTTTTTTACATTGATACGGCACATTTAAACAAAACCATGCAATGCCTTCAATAGGTGAAGTTACTTGATACAATAATTATTGAACTTCCTGGCCTTTTTCAATACATTTCATAATACCGATTTTATTTCCCATTTCCCCTTGATTGCCTATTATTGCTCCGGGGTTTCTATGTATTTGACGTTCTCTGAAGTAGCTTAAGACATTGCAATTTGTTGACGAATTTTATTTCTTTCTTTAAATTCTCAGTTTTTCATTTTCTATGCTCAACAAAAAAAGAAACGCATATTCAGAATAATATGAAACTCTAAGTTTTCAGTTTAAACCTTATTTTATTGAAGCGATTTTTGAGTGTGTTGTGATAAAAATCAAACATGTCCTATGTTGCAAATTAAAAAGTCAAGTTGATGTCATTTTCATCGCCCCCAAATTCAAGGGACATAACAATATGTGCTGTGCGACGTCTCAATGGTAGTGGGTTTCCAATGTACGGATATCGTGGAGGAATACCATCTCTTTTCAATCTCTTGCGAACAATTTATGCACTTTTATGCTGATTTTTTCATCAAGCAATTGTAGCAGCAGTTTTTACAGCAAGTTCTGAATAGCATGAGGTGTTGATGGAGGGGGGGGGGTGTTTCTGACGGTCATGCGTTGTGGTTACCTGCGGATGGCCAGATAATGGTCCTTAGACGTTAGTTTAACGGTTGAAAAGCCCATTGATTTATTCCAAATACAGTTGCAACTTCCTGTTGCGTAGCTCCATTTAGTATCATCGTTAGCCTGGTTATGTTCATCTTTGTTTCGGCGTGGTATTGCAGCATCAACATTGCAATCAAATCTTAAATATGGGTTTAATAGGAGTATTAATAGTTTCTCTTATCCCAAAATATCAACGAAAATAGACATCCGATTTAGAAGAAATCATGAAAAACACTACTTTTATAAAGATGTTTAATCAAGGGCGATAATTCAACACTTGGGTTTAAAAACCCCATGTTGTCCTTTAAATAGGTCACATGTATCCAATGATATAAAAAATAGTTGTTCCATGTACATTTAAAAATTTTTTTGACGAGTAAAGCAATATGCGTTTCTTTTTTTGTTGAGTATATACTATTTTTTCATCTTTGGCAGAGGAAGAATGATGTTTGTTATGAAAGTAAACTTCTCAGCAACCTTGTAAAGAAATTGTCAATTTTATAAATATCTTAATTCATATTTCTTTTAAAAACGAGAAAGGAAATCCTTTACATTTATTATTGTAAATGGAAGAAATATGAGATTAACAAATATTATTATTAAAATAATATAATTTAGTCCTTTTTTAAAAAAATAATTTAAAGGGATTTCGAGTTTGATTAAAATATTATTAATTAAAAACATTTTAACTCAAACTTTTATCGACTTTTTGTTATTGAAGACCCTTGTACATGTAAAATACCCCTTTGTGTTTTCTTTAAAAAAAACTGATAAAAAGTAATGCTAGTTAATACTAAACACTAATTCGAGTAAAAAATAATCAAAATACTTACCTAAAATGTTGAGGAGACCGAGAAAAAAATTCCAAATCTTGGGAGCCATAGACATAACGGTGACTTTTATTTAAATATGGTATTCAGATTCAGCTATGAAACACGCAATTTTAAAAACGAAGAATAGGAAGTAGAATTCCAGTTATATATACACTGTACCCCCAATTCAATTGCGTAAAAGCATAATGATATATGGAACACGGATCACCTTTCCTTTTGCTTTAAATAGCTTTAAAAAATCAGTAAAAACAGAGATACATGTAGTTAGCAAGTCCCGAATAATAATTAAAAAAAAAACGCTACTAAGTATATAACTTTTTCAATTAATTTTTGCAATGACTGTTATTTAATTGTTACCATTGAAAATTTCAAAGAAAAATTTACCAGAATGTCTCATATAAATTATGTCTTAGAGCCACCAAAGTTAGCATGTACAGTATTCTTGATAAAACCGCTGGAGAATTCGTCCTGATAATGCACACATGCGTTTTCCCAATATTTCACTGAAATTTGTTGATATCAGCTCACGAATTCTAGAGAAAATAGTTTGGAACTAGAGGCACTGTGAGCTCACTTAATGATATACCCCCGTCCCCCATATGAATATAATTGCAGTGTTCATGTTATGTTGTGGGAAACCCAAAATATATGCTGGATCAAAAAGTAAAAAAGAAGCTGCACAACGGAAATGTGTAATAAAGATTCTTTGAAAGTTTCATCAAATTTCATTTGGTGGTAAAAGAGGACTTGCATATAAGAGATTGGTACCCCAAAGGGTAACAGACGGTCGGACGGACGGACAGACAGACGATGTACAGACGGACATCCCATTACTATATTCTTCCCGCTTTTCAAGCGGGGATATAATGAAAATATAAATAGGATTCCATCATGTTTTTTTCGTGGGGCCTGAGCCTTATTAAAAAATCAAATCTTAATGTGTCCCATCTTTTTAAAGTGAATTAACCATATTCCATGTATTATAATAAAAGCACACATTTAAAAAAAAACATCTATTTATATAGATGAATTATGAACCCTTAATAACAATAACTCAAACAGAAAACACCTTTATTTCTTTATCTCAAAAATGGCATTCATAAAAATAGAAAAAAATAATAAATAAAATGTATCGCATAAAAAAGTCACGAACTGGACATAAAAGACATACATGTAACAGTCATTTTGACTCGTATAAACAACTAAATAAAGTAATGATTAATCATTAAATTTGATCAATAACATTTGCGGAAAACATTGTAAAAATATATAAGAATATTCCTAAATAATTCAATTCTTGCGAAAGAATTATCAAATTTTATTTACATCAGTACGAAAGATTCCATCCATTTAAAAAGATTTTGCTTACCAATAATTAAAAATGAAAATATTACAAAACTGTAAAATCACATATTTTGGCGGCGTCAAATGTTTGAGGGTTTTGAGGAAAATATGGATCTGTTGATAGGGGATTGTAGAGTAGTAATGTCTTTGATAAATTACATTTCATGGTGGACTTTGATGCCTGGGTCTCTTCATATCTTGAAAACTACGGAAATTAAACTCCATAAATATCAGTGATTTCCCAGTAAGTAAAATGGCACTTGTGAGAAAAATATAAGAAGACGTTTTCATTGGTTAGTATTTAGGTGGGGGTGGCGGAGGGTAGGCGGAGTTACCACTAATTGGCGGTGGATACTGATTATACTGATTGATTCCTAAATTTGGTTGGTTGTAGCTAGGAGGTGGCTGTCCATATCCTGGCTGTCCATAATGAGCTGTTCATAAAAAATATATTTTATATAAAATACAACAAATTTCATAGGTGTAACAAATAATTACAAGAAGTTGATATTATCCTCTTTATATTTATATATCACGGATAATAATTATAATAATTTTAATATACATAGAAAAACTGTACAACATCTAACAGGACAGTTTTGTTATTTATTCTAGAATACTATTTGGGGGCTTATATTTGCTAAATTGGCCTGTCATATGCATCAACATAAGCATTATTTCTTTTGTCTGCAACGAGCAGTTAGCATATTTCAAAATGAGACAAACCATAGAAAACTAATCATTAACTATTGTATTGTAGCTTATGTGTCATTCACCAGAGGAAATACTATTTTGGCCCGAAAGTCTTACTGTAACAGGTACAGTATGATTTCATGGGGTCAAATTGTCTTAATGCTTGTGATTGATGCTCAATTATTGATTCTTGTGGATCTTTGCTTAATGTCCCTCTCAAGAATTTTTTTTTTTCAAATGAAAACGCCACCAGTTGCCGGTGGTGAGTTACATTGTTTTACCTGAACTTTGGAAGAATATGGAGACATCGAACAGCATTCAATCTGAAAGTCCATAAAACAATACAAAACAAGAGCAGAGCAAACACGGACCCCCGAAACATCAGAGGTGGGATCAGGTGCCATGAAGGAGTGAGCATTCCCTGCCGACCGGTCACATCCGCCATGTGCTCATTGTCCTGATCGTGAAATAACGTCAATTAAATCCGTCGTCAATTCAGTGTATAAATATTGGACTAACAATTGGTATGAAAAACGTATGTCAGCATTTGACAAAATGATAAATTGTATTTGCTGACAAGGTCATTGTATCGACCATAGATCTTACGAAATGATGACTTTAAACGAGACCGCTGATATTCTTGTTTCATCAAATTACTTGTCAATAATTTACCTCGTTTTAGAAATTTTTCATACGTAGAGCATGCTCTTGCGTATCGAATCAACTGAGATATACCCGGTATATACTCCGCAGGTGATGAAGGTATATTGCTGCATAAGTAAGGGAAGTTGACGATAGGAATGTTAAAGTCATCACGTTTATCAGCTTGGTTTTTAGATTACCATTAGTGTTTTTTTCAAGTAAAATATCCATGTATGAAACAGAAGTGTCAGACTCTGTGGTATCTTTTATCTCAAGTTTACCAGGATATATCGTATCGACGTAGGAATGGAAATAATTACCATTATTAATTGACAATACGTCGTCAATATATCTAAATGTCGAGTTGAAGGCCACAGCAAGTGTTTTCTTCTTTTCACGCAGAAATTTTTGCATATATTCTGCTTCATATGAATATAAAAGTAAGTCTGCTATTAACGGAGCGCACTTTGTACCCATGGGAATTCCAATAGATTGTTGGAATACTTGGTCTTCAAAAATCACATAGACATTGTCAATCAGAAACGCAGGCATCTTCTGGATGTCAACTTCAGAGTACTTATGTGTGCAATCAGAATCTGTTTTAACAAAATAATTTTGCAAATGACCAATGACAAGGTAAGTTTTATGAGAAGAAGCAGCTGTCAATGATGTCGAAAAGCCTGGATTTTAATTTGTCGATTGTTGTGTATAAAATTGAAAAGTCGTACGTTTTAAAGCTGTTGATTTTTGTAAAGTCTTATGACTTCAAATGGTCCAAAAGTTACTAACGGCAATTTATCAGTCACTGTGAAGGATCATTTTCGTGCGACAGGAGACCTTGATTTATATTGTCTCATCCGAAGGACCGACCCTCTTGTTGGACTTGGAGGCCATTCCTTCTTAAAAGTCCGTATAAACTAAAGTCACGTGTACCAGTAGTTGTTTGCATGAAAAAGATCCCTCAATGCTAAATGGCCGTAAGTGACGAGTATAGATAATAATATATAGTCTGATGGTGTTTCCATATACGAGGGAAAATTATGAGGGACATTACGCAGCAATCAATCAGTCAATGCAAAGGACCTTTCTCCAAGTCCCACAAGGATATTCTAACCCGCGACTTCCTTACTCTGTGACTCTAGAGCAGAACTCTGCCACTGCCGCACGCGAGCGACAAAATGGTGGATTTATTATAAATTTCGGGTAGAATGCATGTTGAGATGTTACAATATTGAATTTATCAATTGTTGATCATGTAAATGTCAGGGTGACATACATTTCAGGAAGTCATCATAACACCAAAAAAGAACGCTTTTGTAATGAGCAATTTCACAGTATGCTTTACATTACGTAATACAGATGTATGATTTTCTTTAAGGGGGCCGACTATTATAAGTTTTATTGTGTGAAAACTACAATAGCGAAACTCTTTATTTTTATACCACATATAACTTACATTAACTTCAGTGTACATGCAAAGTTTGGGGGAAATCTACTATCCAGGTATTTTTGAGGGACCGTCTTAAAATACAGGTACATTTACTATAGGATTATGTACTAGGAAAATGCCAATTTTTAGGACTTTTAAGCAAAAACTATAATATTTGATGAGTAATACTATATCATTAAATATATATGTCGGAAACACAAAATTTTACCGTCTTGTTTCCAGAGGGGGTATCTCAAAATGCAAAAAATTAGCAAATTTTACTATTTCAATAGACTATAACAAAATATGACGCACACAATGGATTAACATGAAAACATAATACAAATATTGGAGATATTCTCAAATTTCTATGTTTTAAATTTCAAGAGCGTATGTTTATTACTTTTTATTTAATAATATTTTTATAACCCCTTTCTTTCAGAGCTACAGATTATCATAACGTCAAAATCACACTGCAAAGACGTCAACCTACCTATCAATTGCAAAATTGGTTTAAAAAATCAGTTATATTAAATTGTAATTACATTTGTATACCTATAATTTCTTAATTTTGTCTAATTTTAATAATTAAGCGGAAAAAAGTTACATTAAAACAGTAAATATGCTACATTTGACTATGATGCGCGAAATATTGCGCAATGGAAACTATAGTCGGCCTCCTTAAATAATTGTTATAAAAGTGGTCCCATTAGGTGGCCGATTCATATTAAGGCTATTGTCTTTTTATTAAAATGTCTTGAGCACAAGTATTAAAGTGCCACCTTTTTTTATTTTGGCTCCAACTTATTAATATATTGTTTCTTTGACCGTCTTTCGCGAATTCATGTTTCGTGACCACGAAGAAATAAAGGGAAATTCAATATAATATTCAATATTAGCCTCTTGGGGTTTTAAATTCGATTTTAAAGAAAAACAGATATCGGTTACAATAATTTGCTTCCTTACTTGTGGTCACAGTGTTGATTGCAGGTGTATTATGAATGACTTGTCCTGGTCTATTCTTCTTCTTACAGCAGATGATGATTACAACGACAACAACGATGACTGTGAAAATTATCCCTCCGATGATAGCTCCCGCAATGGTCCCTACGTCACTGTAGGAGGAGTAGTAGTAATAACAATAGTATCCACTGTATCCCGAATAGTAACAGTAATACCCAGCTGAGGCTAAATGGTACCCTGAAACAGATGAAAATAAATCCAATCAAACATTGTGATTTAAGATTATAAATAAATTAAGTCATTCTAGCAGCAAAGTTGTCAATGCGTGATCTAGAAAGAAATCTCAAGGGGGGTCCTGCACTCACACCAATCTAGACTTTGTTTCATTAAATTAAAAATCTTAAAAACCTTTATTTAGAAGTTATATAACTTCACATAAATATTTAGATTTAATTTTTTTTTAAATGTTTCACTCAACATCCTGTTTTTCTTCATCGTTTACTAATTTTGAGGAATGTTTCCATTCTTTTCTTGTTGTATTGAATCTTTATTTTATGCATGCTGATATTAAAAGGTAAAATAAAATGTTAAAAATAACTTCTAATGGAACGTTCATTTACATTGCGTGCCGGGTTTAAATGCCCTCAGAAAGCAAAGAGTTATCGATCGCTTTACATGGTAGAAATGTGTGCTTTAACTGAACTTCATTCCTTATTATGACAACACTTGTACAGAAGCAATAAATGAATGCTTGAAGTAACGATACACTTCTTGATCTTGAACTTCGTGATTTATAAGATATTTTAAAATACCTGATCCTGTCCTTTCTTTTCTTTGTATATTCCATGGATTTCGAAATATTTTTTTTTCAATTTCGATGTGATCGTTAACGATATTGAGATATATTTTGACCGTGGGGGTCAAAATCTTCCTGTTTTATATTTTAAATCTACAGGATGTTCATATACAATGTCCTTTTTAATATATTCGGTGAATGAAGTGTGGAAACTAATTGCACCATTCAACACATTTTTAATAAGAAATTGTCATTTTCCTGATAAACCAAATACCGTACATTGTATCATTATTTATATAAAATTTAAAACAAATGATTTCTGAAAATACATAGAATAGTTTTTTTTTTTTTTTTTTTGAAGAACATATTATAATAAGTTAGTAATTGTGTTCAATTGTCTGTTTCTGAGAAATCTTGAAAAACAGAAAATTAAATCATATACATGCAGTTCTAGAATTAAACAAATATTAGGTACAATTACATGTATACAGTTTTATCTTTTATGTAATGAATAACAATAAATTAAACGACAGTTGAAGTTTTTTTTTTAAATTGATTCTCAATTACCCTTAACTTAAAGTATATAGTAACTTAAAATATTTACAAAGAAAAATTAGCACAAGTTAAAGAAATTGATTGAAAAAAATGAAATACCAGTAATTCTTACCTAAGATATGGATAAGACTGAGCAAAAATATCCAAATCCTAAGTGCCGAGGCCATGATCATGATTTGATTTAACGAGGAAAAAATTTAGCAAAAATCCAAACAGTTTCAAATCCTACTTATAAATCAGGGAATTTCAAAATGCAAGCATTCCTCTTGTGGGAAATAAAAATAGAGCCTATGGATTAATGACCTCTATTCTCGCTTTACAAGTCCAGTAAGTGACAGAAAATTCTTTTAAATTTTTGTATATACTAGTTCATATAATTATGTCAAATAACTGTGAAGATAGTCTCTTTGGTATAGAAAAAAGATTCTGGGTGGGTTGTCATCACGATGTACATGTTCATACAGGTTACAAGGATATTTTATTGGTATACGTAGCTGATGAATTTCAATTGAAATAAGTAAAAACATCTGTAAGGTCTATTAGAGTGAAAGTTACACAACACAATCTAATACATAAAAAATCATGCCATTTTATGATTCATAATATTCAAAGTACAACTTTTTAAAATAACAGTTTGGATAATGGGTAATACTATATATAGGAATTTAAAAAAAACAGATGAGTCACTTTAAATAATTATATCCCGCTTGAAAAGTAGGAGGATATACAGTGATCGGGATGTCCGTCCGTCTGTTTGTACACCCACCTGTTCTTCCGTTCCTCTGTTACGCTTGGATGAAAATGTACAAATCTTTTATCCTCGTATATCACTGCATGGAATTTCATGAGGCTTTCACATAATCTTTAGTACGTTATGCCATAAATTTTAGTTTTTAATCCGACACATGTTTTTTATGTTTTCCATACCAAAACATGTACAATACCATATTGTGTTGAAGAGTACTCATCTCTTACCTGCAACTCCTCTTATACCACCGAATAAATTTTACGATACTTTTATAGATTCTTTATTACACAATGTCATTGCTTACCAATTATTTTACTTTTTGATCATAAAATAAAATTTCGGGTATCCTAAAGCAAAAACATGGAATTTGCCCTTATAGTCATATGGGAGGCAGGGGGTATCATTTTTGGAGCTCAGTGCTCACAGTACCCCTAGTTTTGTAGGTCATCAATTATAAAGGTTTATTTGAACTTTATTAGATGTACGATAAAACTGGGGATCTCGGAATGAATACTCGGAAGTCTCTGGTTTTATTGTACATCTATAACCCCAACCGGAAGTAAATGTATCTTATAAGATGTCTTAATTTTTATTGAGGTAATTTTTGAGGAATAAATGAGTGGTTTCAATAAAGAGGTTCGACCAGAGACTTCTGAAATGATTTAATTGACAAGAATAGAGTTTAATATGAGTAGGGGGTACCCCGTATACGAAACAAGTGCCTGTGAATGTTGGCCCGAGATAGGGCCAGTTGAGTACTCCTGACATGAAATACAACCACGCAGCACATGCATGCGCAGTTAAGGTTACAGTAAGGAGGTGGATCCTAATTTATACGGGAAATGTTTACTTTGACGTCAAACAAAAATATTAGGCCTTCGAATACAACAAAATACCACAAAATGAAATTATTTGCTATTTTAAACTGCTGGATACCTTTAGACTACATAAAAAAGTACTATTACACATGTTACATGCAGTTTTGTCGTTTGGTAAATCCCACACAACAAAATATAAACAATTCATTCATTGTAATGTACTTGTCAATATGACGTCACGCATCTTGTTTACAAAAGTTCACGCAGTTGGTGTAAAGTGAGAGACTGATCAAGCCACATTTGCTTTCAAATAAAATATTATTTGCAGTTATATAAAAGACCGTTTATATGGATACGATGTCCACTTTAATATTATATTTGTGTATTGTTCGTATATTCTCCAGACATTCAGTGAAACTGTCGTGTATTTGTATGCAGACTCATTAAAAAGTGATACAAGGACCCTAATAAATCAGTTTATTGCAAGGGGCATATCCTAAATGTATCTTGTCAAGTTAAAGAGGCAATTGGGTATAAGAAAAGTGCTGCGAACCTCATGAAATTTTACAAATATGTCAATTGTGACACAATATCGGTGTTTTTCTTTGAAGTTTGCTGTTCTGTATAAATTAGCTATACAGAACGGGACTATGGTGGGCGGAGCTACTTTCCGTTCTGTATTAACTCTGTATACCGTATTGTATTTGCGAACTATTCTGTATCTAAAATACAGCACGGTCTAAAAATAAATCCGATTCAATTTAGCAAAAGAACGTACAAAAAGTAAATGCTGATGTTTTTATATTATAAATTTTGGAGAAATACCCGGTATTTTCCTGAGAATGTAAAATGTCAAAATTTCTCAACTTACACCACACAGAATCTACACGTAATTCCTATCCAAACGAAAAGGAAAAATCGCAATAAACAGAAACATTCACTCTCCTCGAGTCCATTTTTTCGCGTTTTTATTTTTTAAAATCCTTCTCGCTGACGACAGCCACACGTCTCTTTCACTTAAGCATTGAATTCATATTTTGGGATGCCAGGTGTGTTATAGGACCGAAGACATCCCAAAATATGAATTCCATACTTATATTTACATTCTTTAATTTTTCCTCTTCAAAATTTTTTATTTCGGTAATCTTTGATGTGAATTTAGCGCCCTTCAATACTGGTGCGCTTTGTAGACGTAAGAGCTGTTTGTGACGTCGTAAAGTTAAATAACGCAAAAGAACATTGCGAGGAAAAAAAGTGACAAATTAATTTTAAATGCACATTTGTTGTATTTTTACGTTAATTCAACAGGGTAAATTTTTTTAAATTAAATTGTGCCAAACAATGTACATTTTGGTGTTCATAAAGTATTGAAAATGCATATAGTTCCTACTGTGTATTCTAACGCGCAGTGACAAGGTTTCGCGTGTGTAATAGAGATTTGAAAGTCATGGATTTCTAATGGATTTCATAAAGAAAATTACACTGAATGTAAATATTTCGTTTTTAATGTCGCAATTCAATTAGAAAATAAAAATATTAATCCGTGACATCAAGGTCCATCGAAGAATTTTCTGTAAATCCTGTTATTGTAAATATAGTTAAGCCAGGATTTTAAGACCCCTGAAATATATTATGATCAATCTCCATCTACAATAGATCACAATATTTACGGTTAAATCCTCCACTTTATCCTTTAAGACTGATTTTCACTCGATTACGTCTAGCCCATTAAATCGTCAACACTAATCTGACTGAATCTTACGTTTTCCGCGGACATATATATGCGTACTCGGGGCCTCATTTACAGAACTCTGACGGAGGTTTGGATGGTGCACAGCTATAAAATGGGCGGAGCTATTTTTGATTGATCGTGTCACAAATCATTTAGAGAACTCGACAGGTTCTGTATCGTATATACAAATTTGAGGGTGGAGACTCGTGCTACGCACTCGTCAAACCCCAAATTTGTATCTACGATACAGAACCCGTCTCGTTCTCTAAATAATACTTATACCTACATTTAATGTAGTTGACCAGCAAAAAATTCAATCTGTCTTCAAATAAATGTAAAGTCAAATAGTGGAATCTATGTAGGTTCGCAGCACTTTTCACAAGGTACATATAGTACTGAACAGAATTATGAATAAAACGAAAATATTTAACTTGGTTATGCCCCTGCAATAAAAAAATTTCAAAGATGACATCTAAACTGCAAGTATATTTGCCAATCTAATATTTACTAAAGGCTTGTGACTCCGACATCACGTGACAAGTCTTAATGTCCTCAACATGTAATTTGAACCGCGTTATATTTTATGCCCCCGTAAACTAAGTTTCAGGGGTATATATTTTTTGTCGTGTCCGTCCGTCCGTCTAGCTGTCTGTCTGTCTATAAGTCTCTCTGTCTGTCTAGCTGTTTGTCCGCAAAAACTTTAACCTTGCCCATAATTTTTTATTTGGTAGAGCTCTGACTTTCATATTTCACGTGATGTGTATTCCTTGTGACAAGACCTTTCTTCGGGTACCACCAAATTTGACATTTTGACCTTGACATTGGAGTTTGATCCACTTTTACACAAATATTCCAAACTTTTACTTTGATCATATCTTTTGAACAGTAGATACAAGGACATTTATACTTCACATATGTATTCTTTGTTGGAAGACCTTTCATTGGATACTAACAACCTTGAACTTTTGACCTTGACCTCGGAGATTTCGGTACTTGTGAAAAACCTTTAACAATGGCATAACTATTGAACGGTTAGATTTAGGGGTTTCATATTTCAAATATGTAATCATTGTGAGAAGACCTTTTATAGGATACCAAGAACTTAGACCCTTTGACCTTGACCTTGGAGTTTGACCTACTTTTAAAAAGCAAACCTTAACGATAACTTTTAAAGGATTAGGGCTAGTGCTTTCATACTTTCCAATTTAATTCTTGTGACTAGACCTTTCATTTGATAGCAAGACCTTTGACCGTTTGATCTTGACCTTGGAGTTTGACCTACTCTTTAAAAGCAAACCTTAAAGATACCTTTTAAAGGGTTAGGGCTAGTGCTTTCATACTTTACATATTAAATTCTTTGACTTTGACTTTGACCGTTTGACCTTAACCTTGCAATTTGACCTTCTTTTTACAATTTTAGCCTTGGCCATAACTTCTGCACAGTTAGGATTAGGGCTCTCATAATTTACAAATATATTCTTTGTGGCAAGACCTTTTATTGAATACCAATTACCTTGACCTTTAAACTGTGACCTTGGAGATTTCCGTACTAATGAAAAAATGGAATCTTGGCCATGACTTTGAACGGAAAGGGCTACGGCTTCCATACTTCACATATGCATTTTTTGTGACACGACCTTTCACTGGATACCGATTACCTTGATCTTTTGACCTTGAAGATTTTAGAACTTATGAAAAACTTTAATCTTGGCTTCTTTCATATTTCAGTATTGTATTTCCAGTTAGTTTGCATTTAAGAAAAGTTTAATATTCGCTATGTTGCCATACGGGGGCATCAGTGTTTCACAAACACATCTTGTTCTGATATCAGTAAAGTCTTAAAAAGAATTGCTGATCCTTGTTATGTTCCCCAAACGGAGT